TGTGATGTGGGGCTGGGGCCAGTCCCCCCCCCCCCCCCCATGCTGCCTCTGTGAAATAGAGGCAGCAAAGAAGGGGAGGGGGGAAGGGGTACTTCAGAGGATCAGCTGTGCGGCAGGCTGCCCCTTTAAAACACCACCTCTGCAGGGATTCACAGGGGCTGACTCCCCAGCTGATCCCGAGTCCTGGGGAAGTGCTACGGAGAGCCCGGGCTAAGCTGTGGAGTCCAAGCTCCCCTCCTGCCGCTTGGAATGGCCTGGAGGCAGCGTTTTAAAGGGGCAGCCCCCCGCACAGCTGAGCCCAGGATCAGCTGTGCAGCTGCCACCTTGGGGTTTCAAAGTGGCAGATCCTGGGCTGAATCGCGTGGAGGCGGCATTTTAAAGGGGCAGCCCCCCGCACAGCTGAGCCCAGGATCTGCCACTTTGAAACCCCAAGGTGGCAGCTGCACAGCTGATCCTGGGCTCAGCTGTGCGGGGGGCTGCCCCTTTAAAATGCTGCCTCCACGCGATTCAAAGGGGCAGCTGCCGTGGAGCCTGGGCTCAGGTGGGGACCAAGCGGGATATCCCCAGGGCCCGGGATCAGCTGGAGGGTCCCCAGCTGGCCCTGGGTTCCAGGGAAATGCCTTGTGGAGCTGGACTCCCCTGCCGCTCCTTTCAGTCGCGTGGAGGCAGCAGTTTCAAAGGGACAGCGGCTGGGCAGCTGTGGGGCCAAAGCCCCTTTGAAAGTGCCGCCTCCATGTGATTCAAAGGGGCAGGGGAGCCCATGGCTTTGAAATGCACAAGAGCCCCCACTGGGGCTTCTTGTGCATTTCCAAGCAGGCACCCACTTGCAGCCTAGAGTCAGCGGGACTTCCCACGGGCCCTGGGCTGCACCTGGAGTTCTGCAATTCTCCTTTGAAATGTACAAGAGCCCCATGTGCTCTTGTACATTTCAAAGGAGGAATGGGGAAGTGCCTATTGACTAGTCAGTTAACATCCCGAACTTCCACTCCACCTGAGGCAGTGGGTCTTGCCCATGAAAGCTGATGCCCTAATAAATCTGTCAGTCTCTCAGATGCCACAGGACTGCTCGTTGTTTCTGCAGATACTGACTAACATGGCCACCCCACTGAGCTTTTTCACTGGGAGAAATGAGCAATTTGTTGTTTTTTCTGTGTTCAAGCTGGGTCTTGACCCAAGACTGGATCAAACCCCCAGTACCCCCAACTTTAACGTGTCTGGGGGCCAGTGCTGGCTCAGATCTTCCTGGTTGGCTTCTCTGGCTCTTTGGAATCTGGATCTCAGTTTTGCTGCTTGGTCCCAGCACTCTGACACTAGAGCCTCGGACTCAACCACAATTCAGCCCCAAGCTTTCAGAGCAACGCTTCCAGGATCCAAACCCAGCTGGTGCCTCCCTCTGGGGAGCTAAATCCCTCACGCTTTCATAGCATCATCGAACACTAGGCCTGGAAGGGACCCCGAGAGGTCATCGAGTCCAGTCCCCTGCCCTCGTGGCAGGACCCAGCACCATCTCTAGACCATCCCTGACAGCTGTCTATCCAACCTGCTCTTAAACATCTCCAGTATCAGTGGGCTAGCCCTGTTAGTCTGGATCTGCAAAAGCGACGAGGAGTCCTGTGGCACCTTGTAGACTAACCGATGTATTGGAGCATGAGCTTTCGTGGGCAAAGGCCCACTTCCTCAGATGCAGGTAGTGGAGATTCCAGAGGCAGGAATATGCAATTTGCATATCTTTTCCCGCTTTTTTTTTCCAGAAGAGACTTTTCCGAAACGTGGCCCATCTACAGGGGGCCAAGTGTCGGAAAAACCTCCTCGCTCGGCACATCCCTTCTTCCTCCAACAATGCGGAGCACAGAGATGCTGAAAGAACCCATCCGCTTTTCCGGGCACTGTTCTGACAAAGTGGCCTTTTCCTTGGCTGTGGCAGAGCTTTTCCTCTGCAGCGTCGACACAGCCTAGCTAGGAATGTGCCCCGTACGCGCTGACTCGTCAGTCGCACGGAGGGGGACGGTTGTAGTACAGGGGTCTCCCTCCTTCTTAAGCACAAGATCACTTTTTGGATTGAAAAACACCATTGCCCTGCCTCCTTCATGTCTGCTCCCAGGCCCCCACCCCGCTCCCTCCATCCTCCCCCATCCTCCCCCCTTTTCACCAGGCAGGGGCAGGGGGCTGGGGCACAGGATCTGGGGTGGGAGGGGGCTCTGAGCTGAGCCTGGGACAGGGAGTTGGGGTACGGGAGGGGGTTCAGGGTACAGGCGTTGGGAGGGAGTTTGGGCCAGGGGCCTCAG